ATTTACACACCACTTGAACTTTACTTCAGTGGTTTATATATTACCATCTGTGATCCTCTAGAAATGTGGCTTCCAAGTAGTTTATTCTCCATCTTAGAATTATTTCTGGACTTTGATACAATCACATTTCACTGGCCTGCAACAGTTTTAAACTCCTTATCATGGTGGTCATGGAATATTCTATTTCAAGGCAATGGTATTGCATGTGGTCATTTTCAACAGAAATAAAACCATGAAGTAATGTTTCTATACACTGAAAAGAGGTAAAAGTAAATACTTGGGTCTACAGAGTGAGACCCAGAGAATTACCCCAACAGTGCAGTAGTAGATGGGGGCTTCCTTCCAGCCACAGCCCAGGGTCTAGGCCAAGGAGGGCGCCATCTTCCCCCGTAGTCCAAGGTAAGGAGCCAGAGTTCCCAGCTGCTCTCATGTGGCGAGCTGGGGACCTCCCTATTTTGGTATGGTCTCCCAGCCACATCTTTCATTTGGGCAGCAGAGAAGTGGCAGAAGGGGGACAGGTTTGGGATGAGGACATGCTTACAGCCTCATTTCTACTCCTAAGGCTAACCTGTATTCACTGATGGTGCCCCTGGTGTGCCCTGCCCACACCACGAACCACATCTGTCCTGCCTCCACAGTGACTGGCAGGATAACAGAATAGACTGTGACCCCATGAGGAAAGACAAGCTGTGTGCACATCCACACTCAGGCGCCAACACAGCGCCATGTGTAAGGGATCAGTAGCCCGGCCTCGTTCACGGTTACACACTGAGCCGTGGGCCCCTCCCTGCATGCAGGACTGAAAGAAACCGCCATCTTCCTAGTTACACGTGTGGACAGCATGCTGTCTGCGCCGCCCCCACAGGCGAGTACCCGCAGGAGAGGACACCGTAACTCATGCCCTCGATGCTGGCTGCAAGTCCAGGGTCAGAAGCAACCAGGTCCCATTTTGCTTTTCGGATTCCTGTGTCATGGCTGCCTGGGAACACGTCTGCAACCAGCGGGATGTTCTTCCACGGATGTTTCTGAGACTTTCCCTCTAGTCGTCTGCGTGGTGTTGCTCACTCACTGGTGTGGAAGGAAAACCCCTGAACCAGCCTAGACTCCAGGCCTCCTGACATATGGCCTCCAGGTCTTGGAGAAAATCGTCCACCCCGTTCGTTCCCTCGTCCGTCATATGATGAGTGCCCAGCTCACAGCCTATGGCTACGGCTGTTCCTCAGGCTCTGACTCTGCTTCCAGGACCATCTCCTTCTCACTGCTATAGCACACTCACACCCACACACAAGACCACGTCCACGTTCACTGCCATGCCCCCCACTCCTTGGCCTGGAGGGACCTGGGGGGTGGGGACACACCACCAGGCCCTGTTGGGAGGCATCTGGTGTAGCAGACAGAGGTGGCTGGGCATGATTTTCTCAGAAGCCTGGGCATCTCCAATGTGGCCCCACGTGTCACAGCAAGCAGGCAGCCCAGGGATATATAGCTGGTTCCACCCACAGGGGCTGCCTTGGGAGGGATACTGGGCTCCCCGTGCAAGTCGGGTAGCTGGGGGTGGTGGCTGGGGACAGCCAGAAGGAATGGCACCACCAGACCTGTCCAGCTGCTTCACTTCCCTCTCTCAACGGTCTATCAAGACACGATTCAAACACAGCACTAGTAGCCACGTCCCACATTGTTTAAGTTTGGGTCTGCCCACCTCTGCTCTTTCAGTGGGCACCGATTTCATGGTGCCTCAAGGGTAGGAAGCCAGGCAGAGAAACGGCCAGTGAGATCCTTCCAGCTGTGACACAGAAGTCAGTGCCGGAGGGCAGGGTGAGGAGGGCCTATAGGGTGGTGGGGTTGGGAGCTGTGGGTGGAGGGGCCAGTGCGGGCTCCAGTTGTCTTTGAGAGGCCACAGGGTGACCAGTGTCTGCCCTGGAGTGGCCCATGCTCTGCTTTCTTGTCCTTGGGCCTTCACATGGCTGTTTGAGCAGCTCATGTGGAACTAGAAGCTTCTCTGACTCAACCAAATGCAGAGGTTTGATTAAAATGTTGGGTGAAAGCATCTCCTTTGACCACTAAGGGCCATTCCTCATGAGCAAGCCCAGGTCTTGCTCATGTGATTGTTGGGCCTTATTGCAAGAGAAACACGCAGCAGCTCATTAGCCCTGGATCACGTTGGTCCTTCACGCATCAGACAGGAAGCAGCATGGATTACAGGAGGAATTTCCCAGACACAGCAAAACTCGGCCCCAGGCCTGGCTCTGAAATGCTCTCCGGCACCCTGAGCTGGCCATTCTTAGCTGAGCCATTGCTAAGCCCTCCCCACTGATGCCATTCCCAGGCTACGACAGGGACTCTGAAAGAAGACCTATGATGGGAGGCGACTAAACATCATGATTCAGCATAAGACCTAGAACAACAGGCCAGAATCAGGGCTGCGTGAAAGGTCAGAGCTTGTCGCTACTCTGAGATGAACAGATACCCGTTGGGAACATGTGAAGCGAGACTCTTTTCTTACTCTTCACACAAAAATAAAGTAAATCATAAAGGTACTCAAAAACAAGAAGAATTATATATAATATTAGAAAGAGGTCCTTTCCTAGCAAAATATAACATCGAGGAGTCAAGGAGAATAAGACTGAGAGGTCTGACTACAGAAGTGGTTAAGTCTTGGGGCGCCTGGGTGGCTTAGTCGGTTGAGCGTCCGACTTTTGCTTAGGTCATGATCTCACGGTTCATGGGTTCGAGCCCCGCATCGGGCTCTGTGCTGACTGCCAGCTCAGAGCTTGGAGCCTGTTTCAGTCTGTGACTCCCTCTCTCTCTCTGACCGTCCCCTGCTCACGCTGTCTCTCTCTCTCTCTCTCTCCTAGAAATAAAAAAAAAATAAAAAAATAAAAAAAAAAAAAGAAGTGGTTAAGTCTCTCTATAGGAAGGAGCACCATTAAAACTGTGAAAAGATAAACAACAACAGGAAAATATTTGCAACACGTGTTACAAAGAGTTAACTGCCACATATATAAAGAGCTGTTAAAATTAATTAAAAATACAAAGAACTCAATGGAAAAATGAACAGAATATTAAAGCTAGCCAATGAACATGTAGAAGTATGCACAACTTCATGTACTATTTTAGAAATGCTTTCTCACACATTGATGTCTTATACATGTGTGTATAATATATATTACAATATACACACTATACATATATGTCATATAGTCATGTATACTGGGTTCTTTTTTCCTAAATGACTTTACTTTTTAGAACATTACAGGGGCACCTGGGTGGCTCAGTTGGTTAAGCGTCCGACTCTGCTCAGGTCATGATCTCACGGTTTGTGGGTTCAAGCCCCACGTTGAGCTCTGTGCTGACAGCTCAGAGCCTGGAGCCTGCTTCAGATTCTGTATCTCCCTCTCTCTCTGACCCTCCCCTGCTCATGCTCTCTCTCTCTCTCAGAAATAAATAAAAACATTAAAAAGAATTTAAAAAAGAACATTATATATAATGTACATAACATCTAATATTCTAGAAATACCACCTCAAACATTGATGTTTTATATGTTTATATGTGTGTGTATGTATATAATATATATATAATATGTATACACTATATATCTATTATATATAGTCATATTACATATACTGGTATTTTTTCAAATGACTTTATTTTTTAGAGCATTATATATGACATATACAATATCCAATATTTTAGAAATGCCATCTCAAACATTAATATTTTATATATGTATATATATTACTGTATATACACTATATATAGTCATATTATGTATACTATCTTTTCAAATGACTACTTTTTTGAGCATTATATATAATGTATATAACACCTAATATTTTTAAAATACAATCTCAATCATTCATGTTTTATATGTGTGTGCTTATAATAATATAAACAGTCATATTATATATACTGTTTTTTAATGACTTTATGGTTTAGAGCATTATATATGATGTATATAGCATCTAATATTTTAGAAATCCTATCTCAAACATTCATGTTATATGTATGTGTGTGGGTATATGTATGTATATTACTAAATATACACCCTATATATATACTCATGTTATATATACTATTTTTTCCAAATGACTTTATGTTTTAGAGCATCATAATAATGCATATAACATCTAATATTTTAGAAATGCTGTTTCAAACATTAATGTTTTATATATATGTGTATATATTACCATATATACGGTGTGTGTATATATATGTGTGTGTTTATATATATATATAGTCATATTACGTATACTGGCTTTTTTCAAATGACTTTATAGAGCATTATATATAACGTATATAACATCTAATGTCTTAGAAATGTCATCTCAAACATCGATGTTATATATGTGTGTGTATTTATATATATATTACTGTCTATACACTATATATATTGTCATATATATAATACGTTTTTTTCAAATGACTATTTTTTTAGAGCATTATATATAATGTATATAACTACTTAGGTTACACTGTTTACAAGGATAAGAGAAGAGGTTATATTTATAGGCTGTTGATGGGATGTTATTGCAACTTGTTTTGGAAAGTGATTATCCACTTCCACTTAAAAGATACATGCTTCTTGTTTGTTAATGGTAAAAAAAAAAGTTTCATTTTCCTTATAAATCCTAGTTCTGCAATTAAAAAAAGTAGAAGAAATATTTTAATTTCACTCGATAGAAAATAGGTTTTTCCTGTTAGGGTTTCAATACAGAACTCATTTTAAGAGCTCACGTGGGCAGAACTCATTTTAAGAAAACTCAGTTATGAAAAACGAAACTTTAAAGCCACAATTGAAGGGGGTCCATTTATCTGGTGACCTGCAGGCCTTACAGTAAAGCCCTCAAATAACACCTCCAGGACGTCTGGAAATCATTTGGTTTTGGGTCACTGACACCTTTTCGTGCTAAAATATGAAAAGTTGCTGCCCATGAAAGATCAATCAGACATGAAGATAAAGCTTCATTCAAATCTTTGTGCACGTCAATCAGAAAATAACTATTTTACCAAAACTCACTCATCCCTGATTATGAAAAGCACGTGGGTATACACCCCCCACCTCTCCTGAGTACCACGCAGAATCCTACCCCTCCATCTCCATCAACAACTCCGTGTCGTGCAAAAGGGTGACTAGTTTTTGGTGATTTTTCCACACAGCTCACCTTCTGTGCTAAAGGGAAGGGGTTGGGCAGTGATGCTTTCCTTCTTTTGACACTGATGCATCCACCCCCACCTCTCCATCCAGCGTTTACTGGTGTCCGTGCAAGGCAGGGCTGGTGCTCGGTGTGGGGAGAGAGAAGAGAATGGGGCAGGTGCTGGGCTCGAAGGCCGCTGCCGTCTCCTGAAGAGGCGGTATGCTCCTAGCGGACGACATGGGGCAGCTTTCAGGCAGTGTGGGTGCTGCAGTGCTTTAGAACAGGGTCGCTTCTTCCTACAAAGCACCAGACAGTAAATATTTTAGGCTTTGTGGGCCAGATGGTCTCTGCCACAACTACTCAGTGTTGCCGCTGTGCCTCAAAAGCAGCTGTAGACAGTATGCAAACGCCACACTGGTGCAGAGATGGAGGCCTTCCCTCCGAGATGAGGGTGAGAGGAGAGCACGTGCTCTCCCGGCTCCTCCCCCCTCCTCACCCCTGCACTGCAAGTCCTGGCCACAGGGACTCGGCAGGCAAAAGAACAAACCGGCTTCCAAGTCAGAAAGAAGTAACACGGGCTGCTTACAGATGCCATGATCTCACATATGGAGAAATCTAGAGACACCACAGAAAGCTGTTGGAACTACTGAGTGAATCTTGTAAAGTTGCAGGATATGAGATCAGCATACAAAAATCAGCGGCAGTTCTATACACTACTTACCTGAAAAAGAAATTAAGAAAATCCCATTTAGAATAACATCCAAAAGAATAAAATACCTAGGAATACATTTAGGCAGAGAGGCCGAGGACCCGTGTGCTGACCTGCCATTCTCAGCCCACCCTGATGGCGTTGACCCCGGGACCCCTCAGCCGCTTGCCCCACTGTCGCTCTAATCGCTGGCGCTCAGGGAGCGTCCTCTCACTTGGACTACAGCAATTCCTCTCCGCATCTGTGTTGATGCACAAAGAGCAGAAGGTGCTTAGGCGGTCCGCAAGCTGAAATTTCAAAGCTCACAGAAGAAAAGTTCCATCACGCTGACGCCTCAGTGGACACAAAGCAGAACGAGGCTCCTGTTCCGCATCTGTCTTTTTTGTGTGTCTGGGTATCAGCTTCCTCCCACATAAATGGAAGAAATTGTCTCGCTCAGTGGTTTCAAACACGGTTTCACAGCCATGGATCCGTTCAGTAAGTTGAATGCTGTTTGGTGTATTAATTTGCTGGGGCCGCTGTAACAAATGCCACAAGGCCGGTGGATTCATCGACAGAAACTTATCCTCTCCAGTTCCTGAGGCCACAAGTCAGAGGCCAAGGTCCCGGCGGGGCGGGCTCCTTCCGAGGTTGGGAGGGGGAATGGGCTGAAGGCTTTACCTGAGCTTCTGGTTTGCCCGCAGTTCTTAGGGGTCCTTGGCTTGTGGACACCTCACCCTGATTCCTGCCTTCATCTTTACGTGGCATTCTCCGTATGTGCATCTGTGTACACCTCTCTCTTCTTAGCAGGACACCAGCCCCACTGGACCAGGGACCATCCCAATGACCTCATTTTACAGAGGCATCCGTAAAGACCCTATTTCCATATAAGGTCTCATTCTGAGGTCCTGGGGGTTAGGACTTTAGCACGTGAATTTGTGGGGGACACAATTCAACCCATAACATTTGGGAAAACACATAACATTTGCTTTGAAACATAGGTTAAAAATCTGCTTCCATTGTTGGGGCACCTGGGTGGCTTAGTCGGTTGAGCGTCTGGCTTTTGCTTAGGTCATGATCTCGCGGTTCGTGGGTTCGGGCCCCGCGTCGGGCTCTGTGCTGACTGCCAGCTCAGAGCCTGTAGCCTGTTTCAGTCTGTGACTCCCTCTCTCTCTGGCCCTCCCCTGCTCACGTGCTCTCTCTCTCTCCTAGAAATGGATAAAACGTTTAGAAAAAAAAATCTGCTTCCATTGTAATGGTGCAGACCACCAAGAAGACATGACCCCCCAGCCCCGTTCCCCCCAGCCCCAGTTAAAGGCCTTCAGGCCTCTCTGCTGGGGTGTAGTTCAAAACTTACCAGACTCGTGCAGTGGAGAATTGACCTTACCCAATATGTCATCTGACTTTTGCCCTCGTCTCTTGGGAAGTGATGTCTAGAAGGAAGATCTTTGTTCACCTGAGGATCTGGACTCGCTAGGGAGTCTAGCACCGTGAGTTATGATGGGGGCTTCAGGCCACAGGGTATGTGCTTGACCTCCAGAGTGGTTGGGGTTGCGAGGTCAGACGGGTGGGCACTCAGCGATGTCTACTTATCAACCCCCATAAAATATCTGGACACCGGGGCTTGAGTGATGTCCTCTGGCTGGTGATACTCCATGTGTGCTGTCACACATCCTTGGGAGAGACAGCTGGATGTGCTGGTCTCCTCTGGACTGGCTCCGGGCGTCTCTTCCCTTGGCACATTTTATCCTGTGCCCTTTCACTGTAACGAACCCTAGTTGCATGTGGAACAGCTTTCAGTGAGTCCTGTGAGTTCTTCTAGCAAATCGTCAGACCCAAGCAAAGTCCTGGGAACCCTCAAACTGTGCAGCCGGCTTAGAAGTGAGGGCAGTCCCTGAGGGCTACTCCCTCGCTTCCCTAGGATAATCTGATTCTTTTATGTTTCTTTATTTTGAGATAGAGAGTGCACCAGCATGGAGAGTGGCAGAGAAAGAGGGAGAGAGAGAATCCCAAGTAGGCTTCATGCCATCAGCACAGAGCCCAACATGGGGTTCGATCTTGTGAACCATGAGATCATGACCTGAGCTGAAATCAAGAGTCAGACACTTAATCGACTGAGCCACCCAGGTCCCTCGGATTTTTTTTTAAACAGAGAATTCTCAAACTTACAAAGTAGACAGGACTGTGTAATGCGTCCCCAGGTACCCATCACCGTGTCCCCAAACGGCCACCCTGTCTCGCCCTCTTTGCCACCCCCTCCTCCATGTCCCCACCCTGTGTTAGTTTTTTTTTTTTTTAATTTTTAAAATGTTTTATTTATTTCTAGGAGAGAGAGAGAGAGAGCGTGAGCAGGGGAGGGTCAGAGAGAGAGGGAGTCACAGACTCTGAAAAGTTTTTTTGAAGCAAACCCAAACATCATTTTATTTCCTGATAAAGGCTCTTACTTCTCACCTTAGTTGTTTTTATTCTGCCTCTCTTTTCTTGATTCCCCTCTGCTGTCCAAGCAGCCTCTGATTTGTCTCTCCACCTTTCCTCCTCCACCAGCCATCCTCCCCTGGCGTCCTTATGGGATGAAGGGCTTCTGGCCAGCCCAGCCCTTACATGGCTGGTAACCTTCATCAACCGCCCCTCTCCCCATCCTCTCCTCCACTTGGTCAAAATTCGGGGGTGAATGGAAATTTTATTAGTGCAAACACAATTCATTTATACTTGGTTGTTATCTTCAAGATCAGATAAGTTTGGAAAGAAAAAAATAATTTGTCTCCCAATTTTTTCCACGGTCTTTCTTTTCTCTCCCCCCTCCCCCCACGGCTACCTCCAGCTTCCCTGGGATATAACTAACAAATACAATTGTAAGACATGTAAAATGTACAAAGTAATGACTTGATATATGTATACATTCTGGAAGATTCCTCATATTAGTTAGCACATCATCACCTTGATGTTTACCTTTTCTGCTGTGTGAGATCTCTAAGTTACACTCTCCCAGTGAATTCATATGGTCACCCTGTTCTACATGAGATCTTCCGGCCTTATGCATCCTACAGCTGAAAGCTTGTGCCTTTTACCAGGCTCTTCCTGTTTCCTTCAGCAACCACTTTTCAGGTCTTTCTTTTTCTTCAACTTTAATCCCCTGCCTCCCCCCTCCTTCATCAATGGCATCTGATCTAAAAAAAAACGGCATTCTGCCTGTCTTAAACCTGTGTTGGGGGGAGGTGGCTCCTGGGCGGCTCAGTCAGTTGAGCATCTGACTTTGGATTTTGGCTCAGGTCATGATCTCACAGTTGGTGGGTTTGAGCCCCGTATCAATGTGTGACAGCAGCAAGCCAGCTTGGGATTCTTTCTCTCTCTCTCTCTATGCCCCTCCCCCACTCACACACTCTCTCTCAAACTAAATAAACATTTAAAAAAAACCCGCGTGGGTAGAGGGTCATCCCGGAAGGGGGGCTGTGTGTCTGGCGCAGCAGGTGCTGTCAAGGTGAACACTGGGTGTTCAGACAGCTCAGCTCTGGGATCAGAATCCCCAAACGACATTGCCAGGGAGTTGGGTGTGTCTGGGAAACACTTCGAGTTTGCACTACACTTTTCATTTTACAAGGTTTGGTGGGATTGCCAACTCTTTTGAAAAATCAAAGCAAAGGTGAGCAGCCTCAAAAAGAGATGGTTCTATGAACGGAGTTCAGTTCCATAGCAACAAGTCAAGGTCAAAGAAAAGCAAATTTTGCAAATATTTATCATGAAAGCAAGACTATTTACCATCTATTGAATGTTTGGATTAGTGCTTTGTAAACACTGTTGCGTTTGTTCTTCTCAACCGCCCTCAGTGATGGGTCATCAGGAGGCAGAAATCACCACTGAGCATGCGAACGGCAGAGCCTGAGTCTGGCTCATCTTGTGATACGGATGTGGCCCACCTGACAAGTGCAGGTTTTGGAAACTCACTTGGTTCCTCCTGGGAATCCGGGGTCCATTCCCTCCACCCCAGGAGCCTGGTCTGTTCTTAGTGCTCAAGAGGCCTTTTGATTGTCCCTGCATTTCAAGATGCACTGAGAGAAGTGGGGGACAAGGTGCGGAGACCGTTCTTAAAACCATGATTAAGGGAGGTGACTAAGGACGGCGCTCCACCTACACAGGACAGTGTGGCCAAGGGGCCACGTGCAAGCCGGGCACCTCCCAAAACAAAGTGCAGAGAGAACATTAAAGGTCATGGTTCCGCTCGTCTGCCACCTGACATTTATTATGCAAAGGCTTTGCCAGCACCTGCCTCCTGCCTCGTCCCCACAACCCTGGGAGGTGCTGTCGTCACCCCCATTCCAAAGAGCACCCCAAGGAAGAGCACGGAGGCGGAGGCTGCGGGCCGGGAGGGGCCTCCATCCCGTGCGGGCCTGCAGCCCCCCTCATGCTCACACACGCCTCCCTGTGCCGCCTCCATCCCCCCAGGCAGCTGTGATAGGGAAAGGCCACCTGGGGACAGACCTGCCCACACGCACATGTGACTCCCTGTGGCCGAGCAGCCTTCCTGCCAGCCCAGGCCTCTGCCACAGCCTCCGGCTGAGGTTTATTTCCTGCCCACCGCTTGCGGGCTCCCGGGTGGCTTGCGTTATGTGAGGGAAAGAAATGGCCCTCAAATGGCTGCTCTGGTTTGGCCATTCAAGATGGCCACGGGGGAGCCACAAAGGCCTCAAGGAGGCCCAGCTGCAAGCTGACACAGAGTGTAAATCACCACGTGGGTTTGTAGGGGAGGCCAGGCCAGGCCCTGCTTCCAGGCTCCCCAGGGCTGGCCGCTGGACCCCCCACATTGGGCTGCCCTGGGCCTGGGCGGGACCCAGGGCCCCCCGGCCACACCCATAGCCACCCCATTTCTGGCCTCGCAGGGCCACCAGCCCACGAGGCAGGCGGCGCCCTTCCCAGCCAGGAGGAGCTGGAAGCCTGCTGGCCAAGCTTGGGAGCCACAGGGGGCTGGAGGGTCCGGGGCTGGGGACAAATGCAGGGCTGTACAGGCTGCACCATCAGGGAATAAGGGAGGCGATGTAGCAGAGGCTCTCCCAGAGCTGAAGCCAGCACAGAACTTCTTCCAGAATGGGGGGAGGGAGGGGGCCAAGCCCCACATACAACCAAGAGGGCTCAGGCCAAAGGCAAACCGGGAACACCATCCAGGAGCCCTGAGAGCTCCACACACAGAGCCCCTGCCGTGTTCTCCACACACAGAGCCCATCCCCCACTCCAGGGTCTCCACACACGGAGCCCGCCCCCCGCTCTCCAGGGTCTCCACACACAGAGCCCATCCCCCACTCCAGGGTCTCCACACACGGAGCCCTGTCTCCTCCTTCCTCAGGTGGGAAAAACTTTTTGTTTTTTCTTACAGAGATGAAAGTGATCAAAACCAGCCTAATGATCACATTCTGCTCCTTCCACCTGGGTGTTTTGCAGAGAAAGGACAGTGTTTTTTAAATAGGAGTATATATGGTGCTGTCTATATTGTTTTATATTGGCTTATTAAAATCCTATCTAAGATTCTACACGAAGGAAGAAGGATGCAATTAAGTAATGATGTCTCATTATTTCAGATTTTATAACGAACAGTTTGCCCTCATCAATGAATATACAAACAGTAACATGGACGCCTTGGGGCTTTAACGGACAGGTGTCCTGCCATTATTTTCCAGGTGCTTTTCAGGAACTGGCTGACCAGCGATCAGAGGGAAGAACGGGCGGCTGTGTGGGGCGTTTGCACTTGCACTTAAACAAACGCAGCACTGCGTCTGGGTGTCTCCCTCCTCAGCCTCCCCTCCGTTCCAGAGCACAGGCCTCCCTCCCAGTCATCACAACTGGGCCAGGGAAGATGGCGGCACTCCGGGCAGCAGGTTCCTCACACAGCATGACATGCACGTCAAGTCCCAGTTGTACTTAGAATCCACTCTGTCACTGGCAGGCAGGCTCGAAACGAGGGGTGTGAGGATGAATTCTCTGCTAGAATTGGTTTGCAGTCTTCTAATGTTTATAGTCCGTCTCTCAAGAGACGTAAACTCTGGGGGCAGCATCCCCATGTCTCCTGTCTGCTGTGTTTCCAGCACTTGGTGCCTGGCACATAGTAGGCGCTCAATAAACACATTACTGAATGGAGAAAAGATAGGTCTCCTGACCTCCAGCCCACTGGAATCTGAACTATTATATCACCTGGGTATTTGTGTGTGTGTGTGTGTGTGTGTGTGTGTGTCTGTGTGTGTGTAGGCTTTTGTGGGTATGAATTGTGTGTGATGTGTGAGTATACCTTGTGTGAGAATAAATGGTGTGAGTGGTCTGTGTGAATTGTATGAATCATGTCTGCGTGAGTGGCTCTGTGGGTGTGAATTGTGTGAATCATGTCTGAGTGGTTTTGTGGGTGTGAGTTGCATGTGTGGCTTTGTGTATGAGTTGTGAGTGTGAATTGTGTGTGGTGAGTATGCATTGTAAATGTGAGAATAAATGGTGGTGAGCGGCCTGTGGGTGTGAGTTGTGTGTGAACTGCTCACCTGGATGACGCGCAGTGGGTCTCCGGGGTCAAGCCTGCTGTCGTCCGGAGCGTTGAAGTAAAAGTGGCTTAACTGCTGACTGTCCATTTTCCGTGCGCTCTGTCTGCGTGACGTCTGCCTCGGGAACATGCCAGGCCCCGCCCGGGGGTGAGCGGGCCTCGGGAGCTCCTGGCGGCCCCCGCACAGGGGCCGGGGCCCCACCCCCGCTGCCTGGTCCCCGGGGCCGGGCGGCCGGCGGCACGGGCCTCGGGCCGCGTGCTCGCCCCTGCCTGAGGGAGCCGGCGCTGAGCGTGTCTGCGCCACCCGAAGCCCGCCGGCCACACTTCCCGCGGTCCCCACGCCAGGGGGGCTCACAGGGGCTCGCGGCCCGGACAGAGCAGTCAGGCTGTGACCACCGTGGGGGGACGGGCCCATCTCCCCGGCGCCTTTCCCTCCTGCCCGGGACACGCGTTCCTTGCCTCGAAGAGCGCTTCTTTCCCCGACGGCAAACGTTAGGGCGCTCAGGTGAATACGGAGCCGGGCGAGACCGCAGCTTCGGACGCGGTGGAGGGGACCCGTCGCAGGTGCCTTGACAGGGGACCCAGCTCTTCTCGCAGCACCGCTCGGACCAGGGCACCCTCCAGACCCGGGGCTGGGTGGGCACGGAAAATTCTAGAAGGAGCCTCTTCCGTGAAGTCCGCCTGACCCTCAGGGAAGTCACAGGACGTCACTGCTCAGCTTTGCGACAATATAAAGATGACATGTGTCCGCACGGCGTCATCACGAGGGGGTTCCGTGCAGCCTCGGCCATCCCGGGGGAAACCGGCTGTGGTGGGGACTTGGGGACAGGACTAATGGGCGTCACAGGCTGCGAGGACGCGGGGCGGGGGGCCCACGAGGGCCCTTCTGCCTCAGAAACGTGGGATTCGGTTGGATGGAATCCTGGAGGTGGAGGCGCTCAGGCTCCTGGGGTGGCCAGCCGGCTCCAGGAGGCGGCAGCCGCGGCCCGTGAGGTCGTCAGTGCCCTCACGGCTTCCGTGGCTCTCACCGTCCGCCTCCGGCCGACGGGGGCACCGCGTGTTTGCACACCGCGCGACAGACGCCATGCGGCCGGGCCCTGCAAGGGCCTCAGCGTCTTCTGTAGTCACTAAAACCCTCTAGAAAGTCCTTGAGTGACGAAAAAGGATAGTTTTCCTACTTCACAGGACTTCTGTATTTGCACAAAAATACAGGTTTCTGGCCAAAGAGACGACATACAAAGGAGAGGAGTCACTGCAAGTCCTTTCACGGGATCGTGTCCCGGAGCGTCCGGCGTCAGTCCGTCCCTAGCGACACGGGAGCCTGGCTCTGACAGGAGCGGGCAACAGTCATCCTCGTCACGGGAGTCCGAGGCGGCTGTGCGGGGCTCCGCGGCCCGACGCGTGTGCCGTCGGGGTCGGGGCGGAGCAGGGCCCGGCCCGACGCGCTCCGCGCCGCGCCCACAGGCCGCCGGACACACGCCGCCGTCCGGACCCGCGGCGAGGCTTGCGCGCGGCCGCCGGAGCCGCCTTGCCGGCCACGGGGCTACACGCGCGAGCGCCGTGCGCGGAGAAGGCCGCACCACCCGGCCCGCCTCCGGGCTGTGCGCGGGGACTGCCTCTGCACGCGGGAAAGGAAGGTGCTGGAGAGGCCGGGGGTGGGTGTGGGGGTGCGCTCCGTGCGTGTGTGCACGCGGACGTGGGGGCGTGCGCGTGCACGCGCGTGCCGTGTGCGCCTCTCCCCACAGCACGCTCCGGGACGCCCGGCCGCGTCTCCCTCGGCGGGAGCTGGGAGTCCCTGTGGATTGGCGTCGTGGTGCTGGCGGTGGCGGGGGGCGTCCTGCGCGTCCCCGCACCCCTGGACCCCGGGGCGGGGGCACCGGCCGCGCTCGGCCTCCGGCCGTCGCCCCCCTTTGCTGTCCCGCGGCCGACCTGCAACCTCGCAAGAGCCACGGCCGCGAAAGTGCTGGAACGGGAGGATGATGGATTTCAGATCATTATGTTTTTGTCGTATGTTTGAATGAGCATTAAAATTCATCTCTGGGAAATGTTGAACAGCGTAGGAACAAAGCCCCGGAACAGCCCTAATCTTTCTCCTTAACATGTGCACCAGAGGGTGCTGTGCCGCGGCTCTGACCGGGAGCAGGGCCGTTCCAAAACGCATTTAGGGTTCATTAAAAAAAAAAAAAAAAAAAGAGGCAAAATGCCTTACTGTAGATTTCTGCTTCCCTCTAGAAGAAAAAACACGATTCTGTTTTAAGCTGCAGCAGTGAAAAAAAAAAACATGTGAAATATGTGATGTGGTGTTTTTACCAACTGTCTAAATAAAGGTTTAGTGAGTCACTATGGAAAACAGAAAATCTTTCTTTATTTTAAGAGCTGCAGTTTAAGAGGGGTTTTTTTTTTTTTTTTTTAAATGCAAAAGCTTCCCTTAGGTTTGTAACTTAAACATTGCCCATCTGCTAGATCCTCCCTGGCCCGAGTTTACAGCAAATCTGAGATTTCATTTTTCAAAAAATGCACTTTAAAAATGTGCTGGTTTGGCCGGTGGCATCTATGTGGGTGGGCGCTCAGAGGGGGCCTTGGTGTCCTCCTTGACGGGGGACATGGGACCCCCCCGAGCTGAACACAGAGAAGACACCCTACTTACGACCCAAATCTGTCTCCCCAGGTCATATAGGAGGAGCCAGGCGACCGGGTCCCCCGCTCAGCACCCACCTGGTCAGCTCGTGTTCACGGAGCGGCTCTGGGGAGAGACGTGCTCCCCAATCTCAGCAGCGAGAGCCACCCATCACCTCGGCCACAAACATGTCGCAGCCCGGAAGTGGGCCCTCCCCTGTGTGTTTCTTCGTGTTCAAAGAAAATCCTCTGCCTTCCCCTCTCTTCCAAGGGTTTCAGTCAATATGTCACCGGCATAGGATGCTGATTTTGTGTGTTTTTTTTAATGAAGTAGAAACTTCGAAATTTAGGTACAAGTAGGAGCTTTCACAGTAGTGGCTGGAGCTCCCAAGGGTGTTTCTGTTCTGGGTCCCACCACCGACGAACTCATTCAGTTGTGTAAACACAAGCGTGCAAGCGTCCCCAGCCACAGCTGCAACGCTGTTTAACGGTCACTGCAGTTGTACCGGACCTTTCAGTGAGAAGCGGCCACTTAACCGCGTTTCGGTTCGCCGGTCTGAGCGGACACGCTAAACACAGAGGCACAGTGGCCGGGGTGTGTGGCCACGTGCCCCAGCAAGGGAGCGCATCCTGCGTAGACACAGGCTTTATGCCACGCACAGGTTGCAAGTAAAGAGAAAAATGCCGGATTTTACAGGAAAATAATATTCATAAATCTCCCGCGGTGAATTACAGTGTAACTCAGAGCTGTCTTTGTTTTTCTGCCGTGAAGAATTCAATTCTGTTTCCAGCGTAGCCGCGATGAACACGAACCCCAGCGTGGAAGCCACTCCCCTTGCACTTGCCGGGTGTTTACAGCCGATTTACAGCCGGACCTGCGGAGCGGCCTGCGGGGACCCTGCGCCCCGCGCCTGCGACTCCGTCGTGTCTGCTGTGACTACAGCTGCCCGAGGCCACGAGGGGAACCCCTTAGGCACCTGGGTGGCTGTGTCCCCACCCGGGGCACCTGTGTCCTGGCCACACGGGCAGTACCGCCTCCCACGGGTTCCCCAGAGGGACAGGGGCCCGAGGAGGCTGTCCTGCCCTGCGCTGACCTTAGGGAACACTGGTCCCTTTTCTCAGTTCTGACATCGCTGGGGAGGCAGTTTGTTCTCAAACAGAGAGGGGAGTGCGCGTTTTCATAGTTTAGACATCTTGCAGTCTACCTAAATGATACTGAGACATGAATTTCCTTTAAAAAAATTTTTTTTATGTTTATTTAGTTTTTAGAGAGACAGAGAGGACAGAAACCAAGTAAGCAGGGGAGGAGCAGAGACGGGGAGACACAGAATCGAAGCCGCTCCAGGCTCTGAGCTGCCAGCACAGAGCCTGATACGGGGCTTGAACCTACAAACTATGAGATCATGACCTGAACTTAAGTCAGACACTTAACGGACTGAGCCAAGCAGACGCCCCTTGAGACATGAATTTCTTAAATGTGTATTGCTCCCAGAAAGGTTCATTTTCTCTAGAAGAGCCCGTTGTTTGGGGGCAGGCCCCCAGTGCTGCCACTTAGCAGTGGTCTGGCCTCGGGGACAGTCATCTGGCTCCCCCATGAGCAAGAACAGCAGCGTCCCGCATGGGGTTTCCAGGCGGCCAACACACCCAGTGCCACACGCCTGGGCTTGCCCTCCCGTGCCAGGCGCCCAGGGTTCCTCGCCCACTTCCACAGGCACCAGTCCCCGAAAGCCGTCTCTCCTTCACCCCTCTCTCTCTTTCTCCCTATCTCTTCTTCCCTCTCTTGCTCTGTCTCTGTCTCTCTGGAGAATCTTTGTTAACGCGGCATCCAAAGTCAGAAATCTCCTATATGGTTGGTTGGCAATCATTAAATTTAAGAGAGACTTAGTAGGTTTGCCTGGGAGAGGGGTGGGGGCAGGAAACCTTGGGATCTGAACGCTTACCTTTCACATTTCCCTCTGGTCTGGGCTGTGGCAGTCCTGTGGCTAAGCCCCTGACAACCCACGATTACTGTAGAAGGGGCGCTCGAGCTGCTCAGGAAAGAAACACCTCTCGCACACACGCACACTCATGTGCACACTGGTGGCACGCTGCTGAATTTAGATTGGAGAAATATTTTCTGATGGAAGTCAAGCTTGGGGAAGGAACCCACACGGCCATGTGTGGAAGCATGGTATTAATAATTAAGCCATGCGATCATTACCTCAGGATATTATTTCTTAAATATCTCTTGCAAAGGCAATATGATTACATATGAATGATATCAATTTTCTACCAACAAAAAAATCTGCAGAAATAGGAATTGAATTACACTGTCCAATTTGCTGTAAAGTTCACTGTATGTGAAGAAATTAATCAAAGCTACCACCACCCATTTTTATGGGAACATAAAATGATGTGAACTTCCATTTTTAATAAAGATGCATAGCACTTTATGAAGACTCACTAATAACACTGTGATGAACTGAAAAGCTACTGATATATTAAGAATGAAAATTCTGAGGAGTGTATTTACTGAGACTTTTTCATGGAAGGCAGTATTTCTCTGAAGTCTCTATTGGAATCACTGTAAAAGAGGCAAAATTTCCACACAGAACACGGTGTGCGCACTGTGCAAATTTATCTTCAAGGTGAGAGCACGCTCCTGGCACCCGGGAGCCTGGAGAGTGGTGTTCGGATGCCATGGACACCGACGCAAGGTGTCCAGGCGTGGGGTGGGGGACGGGGGTGCAGGAGCGAGCTGTAGACACACCTGCTTATCTTTCCTCTTCGCCTCCTCTGCCTTCAGAGAATCAGCAATCCACCACGACCTTCTCAGGGAGCCGTGTTCTGGAACAGACACCCCCGGGAGACCAGGGGCTGGAACGTGTGTGTTTAAGCTTCCCATCCTGGTGCCTTCTTGCTACCAGCTCCAGGCAGGACGACCTCGTCTCTGTCCCCGAGCCCAGAGCCGTGGCTGCAGACACAGGAACTCCAAGGTACCTGTGATGCTTTCCGACATGCATTTATTTGCTGTGGTGAGTGCCTTCGCTCGTACTTGCCAACTCTGGGCGGCCGGACCCAATCTGCCTTTGTCTCCAGTTCATGTGAAGGGCCTGCGGGAATAACCAGAGGCCAGCACCTCAGTATGTCTGCAGGTGACTGAGGGAACACGCAGAAAGCTACCTGCTCACCCTGGGATCTAGGACTCAAGCTGAATCCTCACCATCCCGTCCAACAACATGCAAATCCCCGTATTTAGTGGTTTCTTTTAGCTTCCTCCCCCAGATTAAATATTAATACATGTTTACTACATTTGGAAATACGGAAAAATATGAAAAAGAAAACAATAATCCTCCAACACCCTCCCTCCCAGAGATCACACGTGTTCACATTGTTAGGGGTTTTCTTTCACGCACACGCCCCCACCCCCAAAACACTCACACTGGCACATGCCATTATAAATACACATATGTGGTTAGCAAACATTCTCCCATCTTAAAATTGTTTTTGGAATTGAATTTTGAATGGTTAACTAATATTCATGGTTCAAACACCAGGAAATAGGGACTGGCTTTTGCCCTAACATTTTGTTGTGAGCGTCCTTCCCGGCAATTAATATTTCCAAACGTGCTTTTCCCGTGCTCTGAAATGCAGCGCATACAGGGGCACATAGTGTGGTGAGCCACCCCTCGATGGATAGGTATTCAGGTGGTTCCCAGTCACTCACGTTTGTAACTGCTTACGCAGTGAGCACCCTGTGCGTATAGCCTTCCTCCGGCTGGATTATGCAATAGTCTTTTCGAGACCAGAGTGGGTTGGGGGAGCGGGGAGGAGCCTGCCTGGGGAGCAGCCCGCTGCCCGAGTCTGGAGACACCTGTTCCCAGTCGCCAGCCTCTGCTGCCAGCCCTCAGGGCTTGGTGGCACGGGGAGGGGCGTCTCTCTAGGTTCGACGGCCCTGGGAATCTGGCATCTCCCTGACTCCCATGTCACTGGGTCTGGTGTACAAGAGTAGCTTCTGCGCCTGGGGCCACCCTGAGGGGCCATCACCCTGTCCACCAGGCACATCTGCATCCCGGGACAGCGTCAAGGCAGGTGAAGCCAGGCCACGTGGGACTCGGGAGACCTCACGCGGCTGCCTGCGAGCCCTCGTTCAGGTGGGGAGAGTGCGGTGCAGGGAGGCTGGTCAGTAGCAGCAGCGGGACTCAGACCAGGTCTTGTCACTTGTCATTTGCTCCCCTGACTGTGCTCTGTGTTTCCCGGGTCTCAGTGCAGTGCACCCCAGCTTCCTGGAGGGCAGCTGCCCCCTTAGCCGGAGGCTCCCCTGGCTCCAGACTCTCTTCTTCCTTCCTTGTCTCCGTCCGGACCCTGCCTTTGCTTTCTCCCATCTCTGGACACACGGTTTCCCTTCCCTCCTGAGCACGTGTGCACTTTCTCTCTCTGTGACTCTATCTCTGTGTATATCTCTCTCACTTTCTGTCTCTGTCAGTCTCTGTCTCCATGTGTGCCTGTCTCACGCTCTCTGTCTCTATCTCTATGTATATGTCTCTCTCAGTCTCTGTCTCCATGTGTCTCTCTCACTCTCTGTGTCTCTGTGTGTGTCTCCATGGGGGTCTCTTTCTCCATTTCTATCTCTCTGTCTCTGTAATGCTCTGTGTGTCTCTGTCAGTTTGTCTGTTTCTGTCTCTGTGTCTCTGTCAGTCTGTCCCTGTTTGCCTCCGTCTCTGTCTCCCCCTCAGTCTGTCTGTCTCAGTCTGTTTCTCTGTCTCTCTGTCCTCTGTTTCTGTCTCTCTGTCTCTCACCCACACATTTCTTGCCTAGGAAATTGCCTCCGCCTGAAGGCGTTTTCCTCCCACGGTGCCCCAAGCCTCGTGCACACGATAAACTCCTCCTCGTTCTTCACCTTCAAATGTCTCCCCCTCTGGGAATCTTCCCTAACCTTTCCAGACGGAGGTAAACGCTGTCTCCTTGGGCCCGTCTGTCTCCCGCACCAGCCAGGCTGTGGGACCCCACAGGCCCCGGGCTCAGCGCTGTCTGTCTCCGGGGTTAGCACAGAGCCGGCGTCAAGTGCAGGCTTGGCGAACACTGGGCTTGAACAGTGTTGGGGGAAGCAGACCCCACGCCAGGCTGAGTCACGAGCAGCCACGTGGACCACAGCCCAGCCCACAGCACACTTCCAGGCTCTTCAGGGTGTTTGAGTGCCAGTACGGGTCCTGTTAGGTGGAAGACCTTGAACAAGCCCCTCACCTCTCACAGTCTGCCTTTCTGTAAAATGGGAGTAACGTCCAGTGTGGAGCAGTGGTTTGATAGAATCTCAAGTAAGTATCTACACAGAATAGATTTCACTACACTCTACTTGTAATTATTACTGTTGTTAGCTTTTACTAGATCATTCTTGCGATGTAGAGAATAATGTGTGCCCAAAGATGCGACGTCTCAGTGCCCGGCACCCGTGAATATGTTACTTGATGCGCAAAGAGGACTTTGGGGTTGTAGTTAGGGTCTTGAGATGGAGAGAGAATTCTGGAAGACTTGGTGTGATCACAAGGGTTCTTCTAAGGGGGCAGGAGATCGGAGAGAGCAGACATGACAATGGAAGCAACCATCAGGAAGAGAGAACATGGGGGATGGAGCCACAGACCAGCAAATGCCAGAAGCCTCTAGAAGCTGAAAAAGGCAAGAGCCTCCAGAAGAAACACTACTGCATAAGCCAGTTTGGGACCTCTGACCTCCAGAGATATAAAACAATAAATTTGTGTTATTTCGGCCACTCAGTTTGTGGCAATTTGTTACAACAGTCCCGGGAAATGCCTGTGGCTCTCCTGACCAAAGATGGTGGATGGATTTCCACGGGCCACGGGATAAGCTCCAATCTCCTTAATGGAGCGTGGGGAACTCTGACCCGCTTCCTGAGAGCCTGGCCTTCCCCTGCTAAAACCACCAGCATCTCTCCAGTGCTATAGGAAGGTTTAGTCCAACAAGCTGTTTGATATCAGGGAAAGAATGTCTGAAATTGGGGCTCCCAGAAGTCCGGAAGTGTGAGGCTGGCCCCTCCACCACCACCCGGTGGTCAGCAGCTCACCCGCCCTGAGGATGCCAGGCCACTCCCTGCACCTGGGCCCAGGTGAGGTCCCCGGCAGGTGCTACAGCCTTCTCCCTGCAGTCTCCCCACCATCCTCCCTGGACACGGGCCTCCCCCATGCCGGCCCTGGGGGGCCACTGCGCCACGCACCTGCGGCAGCTCACATGGGGACTGAGCCCTGAGTCCCAGGATCGCACGCCCGGGAGGACACGGGCCCTGGCTCCGCCCCCATCTGGCGGATGCCTAGAACCTAGCAGGGCCCTGCCCAAGCTTTTCGTGGGAACAGATGACCTCGAGTACTCGTGGTGAGTGGTTGGCCCGGTGGATGAATGACTTGCCCCCTACAGGGTTGTACCCACTTTCCCTTTCCCATTCTGGAATGACTGGAGTTTCCCCCAGGCACATACTAATTTCACAATATCAGTTTTCAAAATAAGAGCTTTCTTTAAAATGACAAGGTAAACTTCAATGACTCATCAACAATGGCCTTTTAAAGAAAAAAAAAAAAAGGAAGAAATAGCTTGAATTCCTGGGCCCACGCACCCACGAGTCAGTCAGTTTCTTCCCAAATGGGAGAAAATGGTTAAAAAGCTAACAGCTATGCTATAAATGGAAGAAACCTGCACAATTTAAATTAATGATTTATTCCTTTAAAGACAGTGTGGGATCTATCACCGGCGTGATAAGCGGCGAAGTGTCCTCTATCTGCATACAGCCCTGCAGTGTAGCAATATCTGGCAGCGAATATGGGGGGGAAATCAATTTTTTTGCTAGTTTCAGGCATATCTCCTGAGTCTGAGATATGTCTGGCTTGTTTTTCACATGTTGCGGCAAGTGCTTCAGCCCCCTCTCGGAGAGGTCTGTGCACGGAGCGGGTACCTGCGGGGTGCAGCGCCCCCCACCCTCGGAGGCGCGGGGCCGGGCTTGGCGGGTGTGATGGTAATTACCATCGATTACTACCACAACAATCACATTTTGATAAAAACACCTCCTCACCGACAGATGACTTTGCTAGTTGCTCTTCTGTTCCTTCCGGCGGTGGCTCGCTGCGGCCCTTCTCAGGATGTGCTGGGGGGCGGGGGGGGGGGCCTGGAAGGTGGGGGGGCAGGTGTTCCTACAGCCAGATGCTGCTGCTTCTCCTGGTCTTTTTGGCTAAATCGATAGCACAGCTTTTGTTTTTTTTTTTCTTCTTTCCTTTTTTTAAACTTTTTTTTTTTTCAAAGCCTTATGTTCATTGGGGAAATGAGCAAAATCTGTCCATCAGTACGGGCGTTAGGAAACCCACGGCGCCTGCCCTCCCTCGCTTGCCTTCTGTCCCAAGTGCCAAGGTCAGGTGCGCGGGCTTCTCCCCCCTCGAAGGGCGGGGCCTCTTCAGGGAGAAAGGAAGGAGACGGAGGGGAACTGGGCCTATCCCTCCCCTTCTCCCGTGGACCTGCCTTACATCTCGGGCAGCCCTTTTATTTGCCGTTTAGCGGGCCAAGGGGTTGTGACTTCACTCCCAGCAGCGACTTCTCTAGAGGTCACCGCCCAGACCCGGCCCACGCGCAGCGGCGCAGGCGCACCTGCTGTGGGCGGGGCGCCAGCGGCGGGGCGGAGCCTGAAGCCACGCGAGATTTGGCTCTGGGTGTGGGCGTCCCGGCAGGTGGGCGGGCCCGGCGGCAGGGGCGTGGCCGGAGGTGGGGTTGCACCCAAGCCCCCTTCCCAGATAGTCTCCTCGCCAGGATTTCAGCGTCAGGGGTTCGCTCCGGGGTCTCTGCAAGCAGAGTGAGGGCCACAGTGCACCTCCTCGGCCACGAACAGGTTCAGGGAAGGAGTGTCAGCGTCAGGGACACCCGGGGAGAGCCCACACCGCTCTCCCCGTCCCCCTGCACCCGCCCGCGGGGCAGCCTAACGTCTGCGGACCTTGGGAAGCCACGCAGGACACGCACTCCGAGCACCCACCCACCCCTGCCCCAGGATCGGTGGGCCTCCCCGCCCCCCGAGGTGCCCTCCGCTTCCTGCTGTCCCCGCACGCACACGTCACTCGGTTGCTCCTCTGCTCACAAGGTGCAGGCTCGGCTCCTCCCCAGAGGCTCCTGGAAGGCATGACTGGGCCTCATATCTCATTCATTCATTCATTCATTCATTCATTCATTCATTCATTCATTCATTCACACATCCATTCCGACACACTCACCATCTGTCGTTTACCCGCCTAACATAGTGCCTAGCACTGGGCGGAGGGACGCCCAGCCAAGTTTGCAGAATTCATACAGGAGACGAAGAGAACTGTACAATTTCAGAGCTGCCAGAGGCCTTACAATCCAGTCCTAATCTAACTCAACACTGGCAACTTAAAGACGAGCAAACCAGAGCCCAGAGGAGTGGAGGGACTGAATCATGTGATGTAACCCTAGGTGGTGGGCGTGCCTGGGCGTTAGCCCTTGGGTGTTTGTAGATGCTGGAAAGAGGGATATAAAGCCACTCTTAACAGCAGGGTCTCTGAGGTGGGATCCGTGGGGACAAGGACTTCTATTGGCTGTGAAGGTAACACACACACATTTTTCTGTTTAAAATACTTTAAGAAGGTGGGGGCGCCTGGGTGGCTCAGTTTGTTAATCCCCCAACTCTTGATTTCCACTCAGGTCGTGATCCCAGGGTCCTGGGATTCAGCACTGTGTCCGGCTCTATGCTGAGGGTGGAGCCTGCTTAAAATTGTTTCTCTGTCTGGCACGTCCCCCACTCTCTCTCTCTCAAAAATTAAAAATAAGCATAACACCCTCAAGGTCCATCCATGTTGCTACACATGGCCAGATTTCATTCTTTCTCATTGCCATGTAGTATTCCATTGTATAGATAAACCACATCTTCTTGATCCATTCATCTGTTGATGGACACTTAGGGTCTTTCCGTGTTTTGGCCATTGTTGAGAGTGCTGCTATGAAATAAGTCAGGCAGAAAAGGACAAATATCATATGTTTGCACGTATAGGAGGATTAGGAGGAACTTAACTGAGGACCATGGGGGAGAATCAAACCATGAGAGACTCTTGAATGCTGACAAAAACTGAGGACTGATGGATGTGGAGGGGGGAGGGGGAGATGGGCATGGAGGAAGGCACTTGTGGGGATGAGCACTGGGTGTTATATGGAAACCAATTTGACAATAAACTATTTGTAAAATAAAATAAAATAAAATAAAATATCAGAATGTTCCAAAAAATTTTTAAAAAAATAAAAAAATACTTAAATATGCTGTTATTTAAGAAACAAGCATGACATTATTTTTTAATGGATTAAACAGTTTTAAATATACTTCATTTTTTTAGAGCAGTTTTAAATTAACACCAAAATTGAGCAGAAAGTACAGAGATTTCCCACATATCCCGTAACTGCCCACCTTACAGCCTCTCCTACTACCAAAATCCCGTGTCAGGGTGTTACAATGTGTTACAACTGATGAACCTACCTGAACACATTATCACCCAAAGTCCATACTTTACTGCTTATTGTATGTTCTATGGGTTTGGACAAATGAGTAAAAAGCTATATCCACTAGTATAATAGTTTCACCGCCCTAAAGATGCTTTCTATTTTGCCTATTCAGCTTTCCCCCAGCTAGCTCTTTTTATTTTAAGTTTACTTATTTATTTATTTTGAGACAGAGAGAGTGCAAGTGATGGAAGGTCAGAGACAGAGAGGGAGAGAGAGAGAGAATCCCAAGCAGGCTCCGCACTGTCAGCACAGAAACTGATGTGGGGCTTGAACCCGTGAACCCTGAGATCATGACCCGAGCTGAAATCAAGAGTTGGACCCTTAACTGACTGAGCCACCGGGCACCTCTCCCCGCCACAACCAGCTCTTAACCACTACTGATCCTTTCACTGATCCCATAGTTTTGCTTTTTCCAGAATGTCATATAGTTGGATGTACGGTGTGTCACATTTTCAGATTGGCTTCTTTCCCTTAGCAATATGCCTTCCAGCTTCCACCATGTCTTTTCATGGCTTGGTAGTGCTTTTCTTTTCAGTGCTGACTGATATTCCATTGACTGGAGGGACCACCGTTTATTTATCCATCACCCCTGAAGGACGCCTTGGGCCATTCCCAGGTTTTGGCAACAATGAAAAAGCTGCTATAAACATCTGTGAGCAGATATTAGCGTGGACATAGTTTTCACCCTTTGGGTAAACACCAAGGAGCGTACTTGCTGGATCGTATGTAAGAGTATGTTTAGTTTTGTTAAGACACCACCAAGCTGACTTCCAGAGCGGCTGCCGTGTTTGGTGTTCCCACCAGCAATGAAGGAGACTTCCTGCTGCCCCACATCCTGGCCGGCACTGGGTGTTGGCCACGTCCTGGACTTGGGCCATTCTAAAAGGTGTTTTAACGCATTTTTGAACTATAAACTGGGGCAAATTTACAGATTAAGCACCCTTACATAGCCAGCATCAGATCAAGAAGTAACATCTGACTAGTGTCCCAGAAGCCCCCTCACCCGCTCCTGCGTGTCAGCTCCCAAAGATCCATTTTGTCTATTTGAACCTCATATAAATGGAATCAGAGAATATATTCCGTCTCTCCTCTTCTGCAGTTGTTGTGCTCTTTTTGTGCTCAACATTGTATTTATGAGATTCATCCATATTTTTTGTGTGGTTTGTTCCCTGTCATTGTGTTATAGTGTTTTACAGATGGAATGTACTGGAATTTATTTATGTCTTACTGTTGATGGACATTTAGGTTGTTTCGTTCGGGGCTATTACAAATGAAGCTGAAACACACATTTTTGTACATACTTTTTGCTAAACACACTTTGCGTCATAGTATGTGCATGTATCCAGCATTTACACTGAAGATGTCAGTTTTCCAGAGTCCCGTACCTCTTTATTCTGTCACCTGTGGTGGACTGAACTGCAAGTTCAAGTGGCTCCAGACCCTCCCTAATACTGTTTTCGTGAGACTTTTTCATTTTAGGCATTCAGGTGGATATACTGTGTTTATTTTCCCTTCCCTGATGACCAACAAGACTGATCTTTTTCATATGCTTCTTTGGCCATTTGGATATCCTCTTTGTGAAGGACTTTTGTTTTTTTTAACCCCTTGTGTTTCTACTGGATTGTTTTCTCTTATTGACTGGTAAGTGTTCTTTATGTGTTACAGATGTGACTGTATTTCACATATCTCCTATTCTGTGACTTGCCTTTTTGGTCTCTTGATGGTGCCTTTTGATGAACAGAAAGTCTTAGCTTTAATGGTTCACTTTAGGTGCCTGGGTGGCTCAGTCAGTTAAGCCCCCAACTTCGGCTCAGGTTAGGATCTCATGGTTTGTGGGTTCGAGACCCTCATCGGGCTCTGTGATGAATACTTAGAGCCTGGAGTCTGCTTCGGATTCTGTGTCTCCCTCTCTCTCTACCCCTCTCCTACTTGCTCTCTCTCTTTCTCTCTGTCCTCAAAAATGAATAAACATTAAAAAATAAAAATAAAAAATAAAATAGTTCACTTTATCCATTATTACTTTATGACCTATGCTCTTTATATCATATTTAACAAATATCTGCTTGCCCCAAGATATTCTCCAGTATTTCCTTCCAAAAGCACTTTCCTTTTCACACTTAAATCTGTATGTTGCATCTGGGATTGACTTTTAGGTCTAGCCTCAGATGGAGGTTAAAATTCATTTTTTTTTTAAACCTATGGCTATGTGATTGACTCAACTCCACTTATTGAAAACTAACACCCTTCCTCACTTCAGTAAAGTCATGTGTCAAATAAGTATATATATGTGGGTCTGTTTCTGAATTCAGTACTCTGAGGACCTACATATCACAAATGATAGGTCCGCTAACTTTGCTTTTCTTCTTTAGGATCAACATGGCTATTCTTACTCCTTTGCACTTTCATATATTTTAGTAATTATCTTGTCTCAATCTATGGACCATTTTGGGAAGAAGTCTTCTTAAATCTCTCTTCATATTATTGTGTAGTTTTCAATTTAGTGTTCTTACGCATCTCTTACTGATTTATTCTTGGATATTTGTTTCTGGATGTGTTTTATTATATTTGGTATTTTAAAATTTATTTATTTTCTATTTGCTGTTGGATATATATATATATATATATACACATACACACACATATATGTATATTATATATATAATGTATAATTGACTTCTATATATTTTTTCTGTATCCAGTGATCTTGCTACATTCTTTTAATATTCTGAGTTTATCTGTAGATTCTTCTAGATTTTCTACATATATGTTGCACATGTATATGTATACATTCTACATACATTGTCAACATATGCAATCACGGTTTTAGTAATGAGTATTTTTTAAATGTTTATTATTTTTTTTTTTGAAAGAGAGAGAGAGAGAGAGAGAGAGTGAGCATGGGTCAGGTAGGAGTGGAAAGAGAGGCAGGGAGAGAGAATTCCAAGCAGGCTCCCCACTGTCAGGGCAGAGCCCAATGCAGGGCTTGAATTGACAAACTGCGAGATCATGATCTGAGCCAAAGTCAGACACTTAACAAGCTGAGCCATCCAGGCACCCCTTAGT